GACCTCTTTTCTCAATACCTGACCCTCGCATGCCTTTTCTCACTTAATTCTTGCAATAACACCATGACATAGGAACTATTATCTGTAAAGATAAGAAAACGTGGGCTTAGGAACTTTAATTGCCTTACCCCAAGTGGGCCACTTGACAAATTGTTTTGTTTAGAATGGCTCAGTGGAAATGTCCTATGGATTCTGTCAGGTTAATTCTGAAAACAGGCTAATGTCAATAATGAATCAGGAATGCGCCCATGCCTAGATCCTAGGCCATGTCATAGGTAGCACTGCCTATCATTTTTCTGTGTTTGTGGACTAGAAGCAACACACTCCTCCATAACCTTATTTTATAAAAGTAAATGAATAGTTGAGTGTTCCAGTGTGGAGGCTTCTGAGAAAATTTCCAAGTAAGAATCTTTCCATCAACTAGAAGAAGACAGCCTTCATAAATTGTCACTTAAATTCCTAGACAACCATATGGTAAGGACTGGGCCATTCCTTTGCCCAAGGATAATTTTATAAATTACAAGGGAGAAAAAGAAAAGCACGAGATGTTCTGCAGATATTTTGTAATATGTCTTATGTCACAAGTATTGTAATATATCAACAAGAGAGATGCTTTTCCATTAGCAAGTCATGAAACTGATTCACTGGGGTCACATCCTGCCTTAAAAAAACCAAAACCAAAACTGAAAAACAAAACAAAACAAAATGAAACCACAACAACAAAAAATCCAGAAGAACAGAGCAATAGGATGAACTAGAAGAAAAATATTAGAGTGCTGTATATATAATAAGAATAACTTATTATGTGAAATAGGATAGTGGAAGAAAATACATTTTTTTCCCTGTGGGCATGGCTGAACAACTTGAAAGCATTTGAATTAGAGAATGTGAAAGACCTGCTGCTCATTGCCAAAATGAGAAAAGAAATTTGAAATTGGATGTTTCCATTGTCAGTCAGAGGTGTAGGTAATCCTCTTATCTTGCTTCTCCTAGGATAAATGAAGGCGTGTAGGTGAGGAATTGGGGCATCTGTAGCCCATAGCTTTATTGCAAAGTTGCTTTAGAATCCAGTATGAATAGAGTCAAGGCAATCCATATCAGCTTTCTGTTCCTTCATTACAAATTACCATAAACTTAGTGACTTAAAAAATACCCATTTATCACCTCCATTTCTGTAGGTCAGAAATCTGAGCAAAGGTAGAGCAAGGCTCTCTGTTCAGGGTCTCATGTGACTGAAAGGGACCACAGTTGACCACTAATGTTGATTTAGCTTTGCTTGTATAACTGGTCACCTTCAATAGCAGGATCCATCCCCCAAAATGTCCTTTTATCCCCAAATGCCTTCCCTAACCCAGGCTAAAGTCTTATTAAAATTAATTTCTTTTGTGCTGGGGATGTGGCTCTGTGGTTGAACACTTGCCTAGCATGTGCCAGGCCTTGGGTTTGATCTCCAGTAAAAAATTAAAAAAAAAAATCATTCTATACCTTTTCTCAATAGCCCCCTTACAACTCTAAGTAAGTAATTATATGAACAATTCTTTAATAACTCCTCCACGAGAAAGCAAGCCAACTTACAAGAGGCACACAATCTGAGCAAGAAATAAACATCTGCTGTTCTAATTCAATGGGACTTTGGAGATGTTTGTTACTGCAGCATAACACAGTCTATTCCAACACACAAATGTTAGGAGAAAAGAACATGTGTTGGATGTTGGCTGGGTATCTTGTGCTTGTGGGGATTTCAGGTGCTGCTCAGAGTGTAGTGACAGAGCAGGCGATGCAGCGTCACCTGGAAAATGGTTAGAGCTACTGAACCAGATTCTGCACTTTAACAAGATCTCCAGGTGAGTCAGACAGTTAAATTTGAGAAGCAGTGGTCTAGATGCAGCTGAAAGTGGAATTCCAAAGACGCTGAGGCTTGTGGTATAACAGGGACAGCAATCCACACACAGCAGGTTCTCTAAGTGAGGCCCCCGGGCCAGTAGTAGCGCTGACACTCAGGGACTCCTTGGGGCTGCAGGTTCCTGGGGCTCAACCAAGAACCTACTGAATGTCAAACTCTGTTAATGCGGCCCAGTGTTCTGTGACTTAACACTCTTGCAGGGGATTCTCATGCACACCAAAGCTCAAAAACTACTGCTGGATGCTAATGGGAGTTAAGATGAGAGTAGTTAATTCTCTTCCTCTTGGACAAATGAAGAAACAAAGACATGGACAGATATGATATTGCTCTCCTGGAAAAGACCATCTGCTTTAGGATGATATTATTTATTGTTTGTTTTCTTTGTTGTTTGTTTTTCTCCGGTACCGGGAACCGAACACATGACCTTGCGCTTGCCAGGCAGGCGCTTTGCCGCTGAGCTAAATCACCAGCCCCAGGATGATATTATTTATGATGTGCCTTCCAGATGCACCCTAGGAAGAACGAGAGCTGGCCATGCAGTGTTCTCACCACTGAGGTACAATTTCTGCTTTCCTATTGGGTGGCAGTTCCAGGACAGTGCTCTGGGTAAAGAGGAAAGGGAAATAGATGGAGGGCCAGAAAGGAAGTTGGCACCAAAAAGCTTCTTTTCATTCTGCCTACCTGGTCTTGCAGGACCATTTTACACTGGAAACACTGTGGTCCGTGTTCTAGGGGACACGTCCAGTGCATACCTCCCTTCAAAACATCTCTCCCCTTTATCATGAGTGCAGTAGTGCAAGAAGGGGAATCCGCACAGCCACATGCTAAGCCACACTAGTAGCCTTGACAGTGGTTTGTTTTGGGGTGCCACGGTCCCAATCATCTCCTTTGGCGGCAGTTCAAGTTGTCACCCAATCATTGGTGAGTAATTTTAGGCGCAAGGCTTGAAGCGCCCAGAGGAAGCCTCTCCTTCTGAGGGTAGAGATCTGAACCCTGATTGAAGCCCTCACTGGAGCACCAGTCCTTCCTCCACTTGAGACTCAACTGAAAACACTCCTCCTCCTCCCACTTCCATCAGAGTAGGCAGCTAAGCCTGAACCTAGGAAGCATCCCACATTTGTCTTTTTTGCAAAGCAGGGAGTGAGAAGGCCAAAGAGGAAAGTGCATCTACGGAGTGGTGTGGGACCTTTGCATCCCTACAGAAGCACTGCTGACTCCTCTTTTCACAGGTCAAGTGACAGACACACCCACCTCGGGCGGGGTAGGGGTGGACAGTCCCGGTTACAAGTTAGAATCACCCACGGAGCCTGTAGAACTCTCAGAGCCAAGCCACTCCCAGTGAAGTTAGAACCCCTTGGGGGTGGGATCCAAGCACTAGCACTTAAAAAGAGAAATCTCAGATGATTCCACTGGGAAAACACAGCTGGGCTGTTCCGGGGAGGGTCTTGGGTTTCAGGTGCTGCCCCTTAATGGAGCCAAGTACCATCCTTTGATGGTCAAAATGTTGGATTTCCAGAATTTTCAGGTCAACTGTTTCAGTTTCAGGAGTTTCTTTAGAATTCAAAACTATTTGAATTCTATTACATCTAAGCTATTGTGCCATAATAGATACTCAACTTCTTTCCCTCCTTCCTTTCCTCTTCCCTTCTCCCTCCCTCCTCCTTTCTCTTCTCCTTCCCCTTCTCCCTTCTCTCCTCCTTCCCCTTCTCCCCTCCTTCCCCTTCTCCCTCTCCCCCTCTTCTCTCCTCTCCCCTTTCTCTCCCTCCGTTCTTTTGTTTTCAGCACTGGTGGTCAAACTCAGGGACTTGCCCATGCTAGGCAAGAGCACTCTACCCCTCACTATATCCCAAGCCCTCAATTTATGTAATATATCTAATTGTTACTGAACTTCAGACACAAACGAGCAATTTTAATGTATGTAACAAGGTGTACCGGTAGTAGCTCTACTTTTTCAGTGAGTAATTTCATTCACTACACAACAAGCAGGGTCACAACGTTGTTACTATGAACACTGGGTAAAGGGAGTGCAGTTATTTGCACAAGACAAGGTCAGCAGTTTGGGTTTGTGGGGGGAGGCCTGTCTTAGAGAATGAGAACTGTATAAATACGGCGGCTGGAAATGGACAGGACCCCTGCAGCCCATCACTTTGCTTCTAACATTTGCTCTTATTATTTTCATTCTTTTGTACATTATAATTTACTCTGGGCCTTACATGACACTGTCACGATAAAGGTTGTTAAAATTATTATATTGATAATACGGTTGCAGTAAACATCAAATCCTCTTATAAAATCCCTAAATATCTTTAATCTAAAAAAAAGTTAATCCATATTCTTGGTGGCAGAGAAAAAAGAGCTGGGATATGCTTAAGAACTTACACATTCATAAAGATTCTCCTCAACTTTGGTGCTTTTGCTTTTATAATAAGCTCCTAAGTGATGCCCACGCTGCTGATTTTCATTCTCAAAACATCCAAATTGGAGAGAATCTCTGAATGAAAATGAGGATCAGCATCACTTAGGAGCTTATTAAAAAGCAAATTCTTGGGCCATATTCCAGGCACAGTGAGTCAGACACTGCAGAGGAACTCCTGAGATGATCCGGAAACACAAGAGAAACTCCAGTTCTGCCCGTCCATGCTACTTACGACATCAAGCGAACCAAAATCAAACCCATACCAGAAGATTATAGGTGATCATAAACTTGAACACTCTTCGATAACAAAGCAGTGTAAGATCAGAACCGAAAATTAGTAGAAAACATTTCTTTGATTATAAAAAAGCTGTGAGACTAGTAAATGAACTGACCTTTCAAACTGGTGATATCCACTGTTACAGTATCAGTTTGGCTATGATGTCTATATATCAGTAGTATTGCTTTTTTGCAGTTGTCATCTATATTTTTTAAAAGTTGCTGACTAAGGTTATGAAGATACAAAAATGTTTCATACCACGATCCAGATTAAACACAGAACCTACATGTGCTATGCGTCTAACTCTTGGATGTTTCTCACAGGAAGCGGCTCTGCTGGTTCCTTGTTCTCTATCTTGCTCTGCCCACCCCTGAACAGCTCTGTCTGTCATGACCCACTCTTACCTCTTGGGGCTGCTGGTACTGAGAGGCCATGAGGAGGAAAGCCCGCTGAGCTTGGAAAGCTCCATGTACCATTTCTGCCTGTGAAGAAAGAGGAAGACAGCAGTTTCAATGCCTGGGTTCCTAAACCAGCAATTACCATATGACCCGGCAATACCACCCTACCAGTATACCCAAGAAAGATATAAACATATGTTCACCTCAAAACTTGTAAAGGAATATTCAGAGGAGCACTGTTCATATTAGCCAAAATATAGAAACCATTCTAATATCTATAAATGGGTAATGGATAAAGAAAATGTGACACGTCCACACAATGATGTATTATTCAGCATTAGAAAGAAAGTACTGTCACATGCTACAACATAGGTGAGCTTTGAAAACATTATGCTGAGTGATGGAAACCAGTCACAAAAGAGCACATTGGTGTGACCCCACTGATATGAAATGCCCAGAATAAGCAAATCTATAGAGACAAAGCAGATTAGCAGCTGCCAGGGGCTGGCACAAGGGAGAAATGGGGAGTGAACTGTGGATGGGGATGGGATTCTTTGGAGACTGATGAGAATGTTCTGGAATTAGTGGTGATGCTTTGACAACTTGGGGAATATACTAAAAATCATGGAATTGTACCCTTTAAAAAGATGAGTATTAGGATATGAGAATTATATCACAACAAAGCTATTTAAAAGATTGTGCCTCAAAATGCAAGGATATTCAAAGGATGTCTCTCTCCTGCCCTCTTTCGGAATGTGCCCCAAATCTGTCCTACACCTTCCAGTAGAAGAGAATTGTCCCTTAAGCCATATCCATGATGATATGTCCACCAAGAATCAGTGGCCTTATGAGTACTCACTAAGATGAACCTGGAAAAGATTTTTTTCAGTGTCATTTGGGGCCCTGGTAGAGTGTGGGGGTCCACCTGGATGGAACCTTCCCAGTAGCAGGTATGTAGGTGGGAATGGCTTCAAACACATTCTCCTTCTCTTACCCTCTACTCACACTGAACTAATTGAGTGTACCTAGAAAAATTATTTTGTAGTATTCATATCACCCTGAATTATCTATTTTCAAACATTATCTCTAGTTTTAAAGAAAATCCACACAGTTGTTTCCATAAGATGAAACATATAGATATGGGCTAATTTTTAAAATGTAGACCCCGGGTTTGATCACCAGCTTCACCACCACCACCAACACAAAGAAATAAAGAAAAAGAAATACGCACAGAGGCTTACAAAATGGGACCACATCTATAGTATTTTTTTAATTAGAAAGCATACATTTTAATCATATTTAAATAGTTGAGATTAAAAAGAAAAAGAACTGTTAAACCTCAAAGAAAAATTTCCGCCCTGTAATAGTATGTCCTAAATGATTCATCTAGGGTTTAAAAATTATAAAATAGTAGGAAATTAGATTTTGTGTTTGCATTTCCAGAAATGTGTTATAATTTTAAACAGAACTGGTGGCCTCTTGCTGAAAAAGGACGAGAACATAATTACTCTCATACCTTTTCCATTTCTGGTCCTTTCTCTTCCATATATTTTAGTTGTTATTTTTATTTTGCTCAACTTATGGCTTTTAAATTCTATGTGTAGCAGCAATATCCACAGTTGTTTAGTATTAGTTCTGCACCTACAGAAACCTGGTGCTTCTCACATGGCCTCTCCACTTCTGAGGTATTCTGTTATGTTTTATAATTGGCTGGACCCTCCATAACAAGTATTTCCTGCCCCAAGATCTCAGAATTGCTTTACTCTTTGGGGTTTAAGCATATCTCTGGTTGCCTTTGTATTTAACCACATACTGGCAGGCTCATATCCTTGGGCCCCTTTCCTTCTCCATATCCAAAGTATAGCTCTAGATGGAGAAGTCTGACCTTGGTTTAACTTCCCTGGAGGAAACAGACTTATTCAGGTATGATCTCTGAAGAATTATTTCTTTATCCTTGAGATTTAGTAGCTTAACTAAGCTATGTTTGGGTTTTGAGCATTCTATATTATATTTCTTGGAGAGATTTAGTCCTTTTTTCATTTTTGGGGAAATTTTATTATATCTTTCAATAATATGTCTTTTGCTCCATTTGGGAGAGTCTCTATTCAGAGACTCCAACTGCTGTTCTCATGTTGTGTAATGTCTGAATGCCTTCCTAGCTTTTAGACCCTGTCTCTAATTTATTATCTGTCATTTGTGTTCACTGTGAACCTGTGAATATTTTTTCTATCATTAGTAAAAATATTTCAACTAGTCTCATACAATAAGGGATATATATCTGCATTAATGTTTTTAGTTCTGGATTTGTTAGGCTTTTGCTTCTTTTCATTCTTACTGTTTTATCACCTTGTGTCTAAGCTATTTTAAAATTACTTTTATACTCCTGTCAAGTTCTAAGAGTATAAAGTATACTTTTATTAAGCCATTAGGAAAGATCTGTTTGGTTACTTAAGTTTATTCTCTTCAAGTTTATTCTCTTCAAAGGTGCTATAGTTTGGCTCCAGACTGTCCTTCAAAAGCCCTTGTGTTGGAGGCATAATCCCAAGTTTGGTGCTGTTGGGAGAGGGAGGAACCTTTAGGAGCTCAGCCCTAGGGTGAGGTCTTCATTTGCTAGGAGCACCCCTCAAAGATTTCTGTGGAACCTTGGTCTCTTCTGTCCTCTCTTCCCCCTTTTATTCTTGGCCATGAGGTGAGTGCCTTCCTTCTGCACACACAATTGAGTAAGGATGTTTTCTAAACTCCACAAGAAATACTTTTTAACCTGGCAATTCTATACCTAGCCAAATTATCAATCAAGAGTTAGGATAGCATAAAAATATTTTCTGATATTCAAGTCCTCAAAAGTTATCTGTATTTGCACCTTTTGTTTTTTTCAAGGTCAAAAATTAATTCTACCAAAAACAGAGCATCACCCATAGAAAGGAGATTTTTACTACAGGAATCGAGGAGGCAAGCGTGGGACAAAGGAAACTCTCTGGATGTGAGCTGAGTATGCAGCCTAAAGAGCTGTAGGACTGGCCAGAATTGAAGGAACATTCCAGGAGAGATTCTGTCAAGTAATAGTAACAGCAATAATGATAAATTAATGGATCAAAAGAAAAAGAAAACTATTATCTGATGGCTTGAATACTTTGAGAAGAAATTTAAATTTCTGTGGGAAATTTGGGGAGTAATACAAAAAAATAAGCCAAAAAGAGCAATTAACAGTTAATTTCATGTATTCCTCCACTCCAAGATATACTGTCTTACTATACCCCAATCCTCTAAAATCAGGAACCAAAATAACCTTTCTTCTCTTAAGCTGTTTATCTCAGGTATATGGCAGTAGTAATGCAAAACTGACTAACACAAACAGTAAGCCTATGTCTTTCTACCTTGCATGCTGTGTTCTGTTTTGACACACTAATGTAGCCACCATGCTGATTCCTTTCATTTGCTCATGCTTGACCTGCCCTGTCCAGATACTTTATTTTTTCCAATAAAACATGGGTGATTCTTTGAGTCTCTTGCCATCATATTGGAGATCAATGTCTTTTCCTTTTGAAGCAACAGTTTGAAGACAAAATGCTTTGTATATTCTCCTCTTTTACGAAGCATGGAATAGGAATGGGGAAAGGAAGAGCTCAGCAGAGGTGATGAGGTATAATCTCTGTTTAATATTGTTTGTTTTGGGAATGTGTTAAATGATGTAAACCAGGATTCAGTCCAACTGTACTTGCAACACGTACCATTCTGATGGAGAAAGTGGTTCCTCAGGACTTCCATCTTTTCTCCAGTACAGAACCTGCACATGAAGCTTCCCCATGTACAGAGAGAAGCAGCCTATGGTTTTCTCTGCCTGGTTTATATTCTCCTTCTGTCACTTCATTTCTTCTAAGGCAAGTCTTTGAGGGATGGGGAAGATGGGATCACAAGAACTCAAACTGCTCATCCATCAGTTACTGACATGTATTGCTTTAGATTGTGACTTTTTTGTACGGTTACCATGAGGGAATTTAAAAAACTCTCCCCTATTGTTTGGTTGTTTGTGTGAAGAGAAAAATTATTTTTCCTGAAAGAAATCTTCCTGGAAAGGGTAATTCAGTTTTATTTGGTCATAAGTTTATATTCTTTTTCACTTATTGATTTCATTTTTAATAGCTTCATATTTATTTGGGGGCAATTTCTATCTCTCCTGTCTTGGATATGACTTACTTTTACAACAGGTAAGAAACAACTTAATACAGTTTTACTAATAGATACCTAGAATAGCAACAAAAACATTACATTCATCCCAGTGTCAGTATTAGGCAAATTTCTGGGCCAGAAGAATAAATGTTTTAACTAAATGGGAAATGACTAGCTTTTATCATTTTACTTCCTTATCATGTATTGGCATCTGAGAAATTTTCCAAAATATTTGCTGAAATGAACCCCTTAACCTTATTTCTAATTGCCCTCATTACTTCTCATCTAAGGGTCTTTTTTTCTTTCCATTAAGAAGAAAATGCTTGGAATCAAACCAAGATTGGTAGACTATTTACATTTAAAATTACAGATTCAATCAACATCAACATAACAGATTAAATCTTATGAATGTTTAAATGAATGTATTTTTTTTCCTCAAAGACATGTTGTCCTTTCTCTTTGTTCTGATTGTCCTGATCTCTGGGACTATCATGTTAAAAAAATCTCAAAATTTGGATATTCCTTAGGGATAAATACAGAGTTTTCAAATTTCACTGTCTGGGAGGCCATCACCACGTTATAGATGTGAAGCTCTGAGCTGCTTGAATGTTTTCCCATGTACCAGAACACGTATTTTCAGTGATTCAGAAGGATTTCTTTCATTCTCTAATGACCACATTTCCAAAAAGATTACAAAATACAACTTTCCACAGCTTGGATATAAATAAAATAACTTCGTTTTTCCCAGCAATGATAATATCAAGGGACTGTCCTAATCTATAACAAGCCTTTCCAGAATCCACTGAATTATAGTTGCCTTGGGAACAGTGATTTGGGATGGTCTGACTTTTATTGTCAAAATGGTACCTCAGAGTTGGCATTAACAATATTTTTGTATTTATCCAAAGATGAACAGT